ACCGCACTGTTGTTGCTACCATTCATCCCAATCCCAATCCCATTGATACTCATGATAGAAGACGAAGTCGAAGCTCTCTTCGAATTCGAAAACGAAGGAAGACTGGATACAAGACTTCGTTGACTCGTTCCAGAACGTGTTGAAGTCCGACTAGGTGATCGATCGAGTGTGTATGGGTGGGATGACGATGATGGTGGTGCCGGTACCGGCGGTGGATGAGGTGGGTGAGGTTGTAAACGGGTTCCGTTCAAATTGGTTGGAGGTGGAGGCGGAGGACCAGTAGGTGGTGTTGGTCTCTGAGGGAGAGTACCACCTTGTCTCGACCACCTCCTCATACTTGAACTCCTCCGCGTACTCGAACTTGACCTATCAGCACTAACACCTCCACCACCATGTTCCCCCGAAGCCAAAGTCGAAACAGACCTAAGAGATGCGGCCCTAGGTTTATGTTCCGGCGTTCCAAACGAGAACCCAGATAAGGCTGGACTCATAGGAGGTTCAATCTGGATTTTATCCTCCCCCTCCACAACTTCGGTTTCTCCCTCCGTTTCCTTCGAATTCTGTTTCCCCTCCGATGAAGAAGTCGCAACAGCAACACCAAAGCTACCAGCGGTGCTTGCGTTCCCATCACCGTGAGCATACAGCCCTGATTTACAACTCTCACTCCCTTCCGTCTCCTCGCTGTGTACTATCGTAATCGGAGTCACCGAAGCCGAAGTCCACCGTTTCCTAGGTGGAGGATGGAGTGACCAAGCGCCCAGGGATAACGTTCGATTCGGCCTTTCTCTCGAAGTGGAGCTAATATCAGCTGGTAGCAAAGGGTCGAATGAGGTCCAATTTGAGTGGGTGTTGCCGTTGTCCTCTGTCACGACGATCTTACGGTCCAATCGTTCACGGTGATCGAAATCCATGAGACCGTTTGTCCCCGAAAATGGAACAGAGCTACTTGAAGCAGCAGCAGCGACGAGTGATGACGACGACGGAGCTTGTGAGGCACCAGGGGATGTACCAGGTCGAAGCATACTGAATATGTTCTGACTGACTCGCCCAAAGGAGTCGTCCTTTGATTCGGTTTCCCCTGGTTGACGATCCGTATCAATGGAAGTCGCACGAGAAGAAGCCCGAGGTCGTCCAGGACTAGAGAAAAGGCCTTTGAGCGTGGTAACCGCACTCGATGTAGGTCTGGGTGTCGTGGCTTGTGAGCGAACAGAATGTGACGAAATGGACGAGGCGTAAGTCTTATCCGCTTGGGGAGTACTCTGTGGGGGTGTCGTTGTCGGCGAACGTGGGTTATTGGCTGTTGACATGAAACCTTGAGTCCGGATAGACAGCATAACGTCCATATCCCCGCGGGGTTCTGTGCCAGCGGATACATTCAAGGTTGGGCCCAGACCAGCTCGCATGGTTCTGCACAGCAGTAGTGTAAGAATGGGGGCATTGCACTGGAAAGAATAAACATACCGTTGACCCAGGATAGCTGTTTTAATACCAGATATCCACTTCTGTGCTTCAGCGGAGTCTGTTATCTGCAAAAACCACATGGTCCTCCCACCCTCCTCCGAGTTCCAATCCTTCTTCATAGCACCAACGTCAAGGCCTCCAACCTTTATTACGTGTCGCCGTCCTCCCACCTCCTCCTCCGCGACGAAGACTACGCTATCGTCATTAATCTCGAGGCGTTCTACTTCCTTTTCATCCGGATTTGCAGACTTGAAAAGGTGTAAGTAAGAGACGGCCGGACCGGAACCTCGAGTAATTAGGGCTGTTGGGGTGGATAGTATCATATACCGATTTTTCCAGTTCTTGGAAAGGGCAAAAATCCGAAGTGAAGAAGGGGGATAGTATTTGGGTAGGGTAGCCGCCTGTTGCTTGAATTGATTAAGTGCGGAAGGTGTTGTAGGATATGGGGGGACAGCGTTGAGTGACGTCGAATTTGTTCTGCTATGTCCGAGCATAGAACCTGCACGATAACGAGCGGGTAAAGGCGCAGGTTGAGAGACCGATATGGTGGAATTATGAGGTGAACGGCCTATGGGACCATCCATTAACGAGGCATCTAGGCCCCGGGCATTAGAAGGCTCTGGCATATCCACAGGACTCGTAGTCATGACGAGTTCCTCCTCTTCTTCGTTGTCCTCATGTATGCTATTATCGCAAGAATGTATTTCTTGGTGCATGAGAACGGAACCGAGGCCAATGGACTGGGCAGCCATTTCCCTCAGTTGCTCCCGTTCTTCTGCCTCCTCGTCTTTTCGAGGAGCACATATTTCGATGACGTCGGGTAAGACTATGGGCATGGGAGGATGTTTGATAATGGAAGGCCGTCTACGGCCGAATCTGAGGCCGAGGGCGTCGGATGCTGCCACTAAAATACTGGTGCGCGACCGTTTGAGTCCGGTTGAAGAACCTTCCGTGGTCGATGGACGAGGCTTCTCGATGGATGCTGTCGAAGTTGATGTCGTGTAATGGTATAGCAAGTCTCGATCCGATGCCCCTGTATGTAATAATCAACCACGCTGGTTCAGTTTTTTCGAGGACGACTGCAATCTGCGAGTGGAGACGAGGGTGGAGGGGGGGCTTACCGTGATGTGTGGGACTAGTAGGACCCATACCCCCATTGGTGTCAACCGACTCCTTTGGCTTGTTGCCAAGGACCTTTGCTTTGCTACTAGTAGGCTTCACACTCGACGCCCGACGCATTCTACTTGGGGAGAAAAAATCTGACGTGGTCGTCCGACTTGATCTGGGAGAACGCTGGCTATCTGGGTTCATGTTCGGCCTGGAGGGCGAGGTGGGAGAAAACGGCCTAGAAGTTGAGAACGACATGGCTGTTGGGGATGTGCTCGAGTGTGGGGAGCGTGTCGTTGCCTAGAGAAAGAATAGAAAAAACAATGATGAGCAAAACGATGAACAGTTGTGGGTGTCGTTGGGCATCAGTGAACAATGTTGGTGGCGCCCAGAATGGATCAAGGGAGGGAGAGCTGAGTGCGAGGTCACTTGCCTTTGGTTGGGCGTCATCCAGATGTACGCGGTCGAGGACGGTCGCTGACGACATGCAGCGACAACGGAGATTGGAAGGAGAGTTGTTGTCGTTGAGGACAAAGGGTAAGGGAAGGGCTCACTGTTATGGGAGGCAGAAAATTAATTATGAGAGATCTTGACGTACCCTTTTGGGCGTTCGTGTGCTCTGGCTCGGTTCCTGCCGATCTGTTACCAATTCATTCGCCGGCCCAGAGTCCCGCCACACGAGACTAACTCGCAAGTATTTCCAACATTAAACCAGGCCGTAAGCTTTTCACCGTTGTCATACACACCATAATTCTGTATCCTCAGTACCATCGACATGATGAATGTTCCAACATCACTCCATAAACCTGTATCAAGGAAGCATCAACGCATTCAGAGTGACCCCATAAACGTAGTCCCATCCCTGGGCACAATGGAACCCGGCCAACGACCAAGTTCCCAAATCCAGCTCCAAAGAAAAACTCAAAATCAACTAGGTGGCCGCATCCGCTTATACGTCCCATACGGTCCAACCGCTCCATGACCACCACTGCCACCGCCACTACCAACTCTACTCGCCGACCTCTGTTGCTCCAACCGTGGTGGTGGTTCAAACGTCGGGTGCCTACTCTCCGAATACGTTGGACCCCTCGGATAAAGAGGCTCCAACCCCATCAAACGCCTCAATTCCTCGTTTTCCTTTTCCAATCTCGCCAGTTCAACCTCTCTCTCCATCGCGTGTTCTGCTCCTGACGTCGACATCCACGGTTCCCGGTCAACTCCCTCCGGGTCCTCCTCCTCCCCCGTCTGTTCAGACCGTTCTGGATCTTCTCCACCCATTGAACGTAGGAATTGTCGTAGTAGTTGAGATATCCTTGCAAGTGACTCTGAAGTCGCTGTATTCGTAGTTAACTCTTGCTCGGCATATGCTTCTTCACGGCTAAGCAACTTCCTCTCATACTCCCTGATCAATGACAACTCTTTCTCCTGTACATCTTGCTGTAAAAGAAGGGAGATCAATCAACAGCATACACCATATAAAACAATGATGGGTAAACTTACAGCACGATTTCGAAAATTACCTGTGATAACACACACCGTCAATGCATTGTCCTCGTGTCTTCAAAAAGTGGAACGACTCAACTCATAAGGGTCTCCAACGTCTGCTCATACTCCTTGATGAGCATATTCAATTGCTTATTATCATGTACCAAGCCTTGATTTTCCTCAATCATTGACGCATTCATACGCGTCAATTCAGCTTCATAGACCTCTGAATGTTCGCTTCGTCAGGACGAGATATCATCCATAAAGCATACTTCCACTTGCCATTGGACAAATGGAGATTATTCCTTTCAAAAAACCACAAAACGTTATCAGTCGACAAGCACACCGCCCAACAAAACAACTCACCTCCTCAATACAAAACCCGACTGCGAATCAACCGCACGTCCCTACAGCAAAACACCTATATTAGCCCCATACCCAATGAAACCACCCACCACCACAACTACCACGACGAAAAAACAACATACCTTCGCATCCTCAACTCTAGAAAACAACTCAACAGCCTGACTTCGATTCGAATTGAGCTGTGACCCAAGTTCTTGTATCAAAGTCCATAAAAGTCCTAAATCGTATTCGCCAGAACTTTCCAAGACGGTCATCGTTGTTGAGAGTTGCGTAGTATCGAAGGGCGAAGTGGCTTGTTTGTGATGATAGAGAGGCTTTTGGCGTGTAAAGGCAAATGCAAAGAAAACGTGTGGACGAAAATATCAATGACGCCTGCTGTGTGTAACTAGAAAACCTTCAGTCAGTCGCCAAGTTACTGTGAACAATTGTAGCACTCACCTCTTCAATCAAGAGTCAAAAAGCACAGCGTCCTCTCGTCGACGTCACTTTCGAACACAGTCGGATCCCCAAAAAAGTCCAAGTCCAAGCGAGGATCGCCCAACACCCAAAGTGGACTCGACAGTGCAATGCGCAAAAAGTGTCTCTCTGACGGGGAGTCGAACCCCGGTCTCACGCGGTCGTAGCATGATTGCTTGACAGGCGTGTGTACTAACCGTTATACGATCAGAGACGGTTATTGATTCCGCATATCTGGTATGTATATACAGTTGGATGACTTGCATAGGGGCTGACATCTTGCCGTCGGAGGTCTTGCAGATGATTTACAACGAAATTGTACCTCGCAGCTGACTTCTTGACTTATATTTACCCTGGGTACTTCGGCGCGATTCGTTCCATGTTCACTTTCCCCTGGGGCATTGATTCAGACGATCCGTCGGATTCCTTGACCAGTCCATCCACGAACCGATCTGCCCAGTTCTTGCACAAAACAGCGAAACCGCTCTAACTAAACAACCACAAGATCGCGATCTTTCTAATTATGATGGCCACCACCCTTGCATCTTCACACTCGGATATGTCGAAATTCATCAGGAGTATGATGCTACTACTCCTACAAACTAGGAGATCATATGTGAACTCGCGGGTAACTTTCTCTCCCAGCTTGGTTTCTGCTCAACGATACCGAAGACAATGAACCCAAAAACTACAATAATCCTTGTATTGGATTTCCCGGCTGCATGCCAGCGCTACCGTCCATGTTTCCACTTTTTCAAGTTCAAGTTGAACCTCGCCGGGACGATCATGGAATCCCTGTCGACCATGAAATCTATCAAATCGCCACACAAAAGTCTCTGATCGTATAACGGTTAGTACACACGCCTGTCAAGCAATCATGCTACGACCGCGTGAGACCGGGGTTCGACTCCCCGTCAGAGAGCTGCGTTTTTTTTAAATTTACTTTTTGTTCAAAAGACAGAACTGCGCCTTCAGACATTTCTTACATACACCACATTTCTCTATTTGTACTGCAACGTCTGAAGGCTTGAACTATTGCAACTCAAAATACTCATCCACATCTCTTCAATGCCTTCTTCCTCACATCCAATCTGAAAACCATTGTCTCGAAGGATGTAATACTCTCGAGTGGGTGTCTGGATTACCGCAATCGCAGGATGAATAGGCTTTTTCTGAGCCGTCGTGAAATGCACACTTTCGATATGATGGTGCCTACGAAATGGATTGTGAACCTGAAGAAAACTGAACAACAGATCCAGAAAACCTACGGCGGAAGGTATAAGTTGACTTTCGTCACCTTTGGTTTTGGTCCTGGAACTTGACACGGATTTCCGCTATATTCCTGGTCCATCTCAGTGGAAGACATCCAACGTCCACTTACGCTTGATAAAGCGAATGTCGTTCAGCATATACGGTCGCATATATCCAGGTCTCAAGCCAGACGAGAAGGAGGTTGATAGACATACCCGTTCCCGACAATACATGCGAGGATGTACCTCTGGGCAACTAGAAATTTGGCTTTTCCGGGATCTCCTTCGGTTTGTATCTTAGAAAGCCAAAGTTTGCTCATTCCTTTGTGATATTCTTCGTGATTTGTCCAGGAGAGTGAGTCAAGTAGGGAGCCCCTTGGGCCAGAGCCAAAGGAACCCTGTTCTGCACCTAGTCCTCTTGAAGTCATAGCAAGTCGCTGAGCAAGGAAAGTAGACCAATCCGTTCGCAATGGAGTCGATCGTCCAGATAACATCGAATTTTCGGGTTGTCCAATAATCTCGCACGTTCTTTCGAGGACCAGAAGCTGCTCGACTTTACCAGAAGAATGAAGAACATCTATGCGCCATATCTCGTCGTCGATAATGTTATGAGCATCAACGACCAGGCTGGTCGTCCAGTTGTGTTGTCGGATTGCAGAATGTGCGAGTAGGGACTCACAGAATCGAGTCAACACGAATCTATGCGGGTAGTTTGTTGTGGTTAGGGGGATGGGTACATAAGTACTGACCTGACGGCAATCGTTATCTGCTTTTCGTGATCTGGACTTCCCCAAAGTCGTTCTGAGATCAAGTTCTTGTGAGCCAGTGCCTTTCCAAGGAAAGAATTTTCATAGACCGCCTTCCTTTCGATGACCTCGTGTTCACGAAATTGGAGGTAAGGCCATAAGTTCGTCATATTCCGCAAGACACCATGGAGAGCTTGATCCAGGCGGACCCCAGAAAAGCGCCTGGCGAGGCGATAGAAAGCGGATAGATACGCTATACGATGCAATTTCAGTGTATAGTTGAGCAGAAATGCAATCATGCAAGCAGAAGTCGGGGTCGTCGTACCAGCATATCGAAAGGAACGAGAAACTTGCGTGCAATTTTTCAAGGTTTCGACATCAATATCACTAAGAGCAAGAGCAAGCGAGCCCACGCGTTTGCGCTGCGCAACAGAAGGAGGAAGAGAGATTGGTTTGAAAGAAGTCGGAGCAGATAGTACTTGGAAATCGAGGTAGCATAGACGAGGCCCAGAAGTTTCAGAATGGGTAGGACTATCCGTTGTAGCCGTTGTCCTCTCAAGGTCGCTGTGAGGTCTTGCCTTGGGGGACTTGTTGGCGGGCATCAGAGGCTTAAACCGTTTTCCACTTTCGGCGCTAGTACGGGGACGCTTTTCGGGGTTGTGGTTGTCTACAAGACCTCCAGAAGCGCCGTGTATGCTGGGGCCAGATTGCTGCAGTTGCTGAACGGTTGAATTATTTGGGAGGCCTGGGACCTTGAAACCACCCCTATCAGGCGTAGCGCCATGGTTGGACTCCGAGTCGGGATGAGGACGCTTTCGAGATGACGTCGGAGTGGCATGGCCTTTTTTCGTCGGGTTTTTGTTCAAAATTTGAGTGCCTGGAAGAGGAGGATCTTGAGCGGAGGTACGGTTCGACGTGCTTCCTCCTGGGCGAGTATTCTGAGGGAGGCCTGCTGATGCCGTTGGTTTGGGTGCAGAGGCCTGGGTCCCTTCATTTAGAGATATAGGGGTGGGTGAAGTAGTGCTTTCGCCACCAGGGGGCGAATCAATAGGGGTTGAGCTTGCAGTCGTATTTCCAGGAGCCGAAAGCGGCGTCGCTGGAGGAGAGAAAGAACCAGATTCTTGACCAATAGTCGTGTGCCGGGCATCTTTTTGCTCGCCACACCTTGTTGAATCCTGGTCGCTTGCATCGGTCCCGCCTTGATTTGACCCCTGTCCGGCAGCACCTAGTTGGGCAAGCAGCCGCTCTACAAGCCCTGCCTTGTTCAGTTTTGAATACCCAGTGACTTTTCGCTCCTTGCACAACGCCTTGAGCTGTGGAATTGTCATTTTCTTGAGATCTGGTTGCTGCGTCGCCATTGTCGTTGATGGTGTAAGAGGTGAAATTTTCGATTGCTAAATAGGTAGTGACGCTTATAAGGCCGCGTGACAGCTTTGTTAGAATACAGCAGATTAAAAATACACATTGTGCAGTATGATATATGATGCTCGGTTGCGTCACGGTATCATCGAATCCAAAGTATCGTGGAGAGAAGGTATGAATTACGCAAGGCTTAATTATAGATTGGAAGGGGGAGAAGTCTAAAGGCGATTAATTAGTTGCGCCAGCGGTGAATGCTGGCCACATACCTGTCTGCATTGAACAGGAAATTATGGGCCAGGTCTTCATCTTCAAGGAATCGAGTGGGATGAATAACTTGTCGAATGCATGAGTAAACGTGTTTCGTGTTTAGAGCAGGGAAGCCAGCCTTACCAAGATGCCCGCATAATTCGCCAAGGAGCCTTTCCATTTCGTCTCTTTCCCACCGTTCAAACGGTTCAGTTCCTTTAGGCGCTTTGCGAGCCTTGGGTTGGGTGGGCTCGCCGTTGGCGTGTGTACTCGACTCCTGGGTAGTGCCACCATCCTTACTTGATCGGGGTAAGCCGTCGAAGGAACCGTTGTCACTATTCGAATATTCTTGTGCGGTAAGTCCGTCTCCAGCATCAGAAGGCACACGTCCAGTTCCTTCATATGCCGCAACATCGCTAGGCTGGTAAAAAGTTCACCTCTCAGGATATTTGATACCACGGTTAAAACTTACTGATTTATTCATACGTTCATGCCAGAGAACGAATTCCTTATACTGCTTCCATGTCGTAATTTTATCGTCGGGAACGGAGTGAAAGACTTTTCGGTATATTTCCGTCTAATTTCCTATTAGCGAGTGATTCAGATGACAAGGAAGAAAATACATTATGCACAGCGCTTGCAACCCACACGTCCTTCCAGAAAGCGTCCGCAATAGGGTCTTCAAACCCAGCAGGGTCAACGACTGGCTTGAGTACGGGTACTGCCCAACCCTTGTGAGCAGACTTCGTTGAGTGCTTGCGATTGTAGATTCGATCTTCGTCGTCGAGTCCTTTCGTGTCGGGATGTGTTGGCTTCGAATCCGCGCTGTACTGCGCATCATCGCGGGAAGGAAATGGCAGTCCACTGATGGCTGGATCCCCGTTTTCGGTTTGGGGCGAGGTCGGGAGGCCATCGACTTTGTCCACGAGAGCAGGTGTAGTTTGCTCTTCTAATGTTGGGACAACAGAACTGGCAAACCCAAATTCCATCATCCCACCAGGTGCATATCTTGTTCTTTCTTCTTGGGGCGTTTTGTCTCCTACGAGTTGATTGGAGAGATCGTGTGCTGACCCAGTCCTGCGGAGAACTGGAGAAGCATCGTCATTGTCTGCCTCGCTTGTCGTGTGAGCAGCTAATTTTAATTTTAGCTGTTGACCAGGCCGGCAAGATAAAGTAATCTGATACCTTGACTGCCAACCTCTGGTAAACTTTCATCTGAGGCGCCATTGGGCTGCTCTGAGCCAGACAACTCTGGGATGCCACGTCCACCTGGGAATGATTGTGCCGCACTATCATCAAACGGTTGGGAGAACGATTCATCGTGCTTGGCGGGGTCAATTGGCATCGTTTCTTCTTCCATGGCATCCACGTCGACACCAAGGTGTTCTCTCATCAAACGAACACGCAGCGTGTGCGCGAATCTGCCTACTTTGAACGGTTTACCGGCCATGGTGCTGGGTAACATATAGATTACGGTCGATGAAGTGAAGGAGAACGTCTTACCAAGGAATCATATCCGTGTCTCGAATCACAGCAGCCAATTCTGAATCGCGGTCGCCGCGCTGTGACCTCTCGTTGATATTGGCACTGCCTATGATAGCCAGACGGTC